CCTCCTCCTCCTCCTCCTCCTCCTCCCCCAGCTTCTCCCTCTGTCTTCCTTGCTCTATCTGCTCCGCGTGTGCCGTAGGCGAGGCCTCGATGACTCGCGTACGTACACACCGGAGTAACTCCTTGACGTCCGAAGAACTGGGACGGGGCTGAGGCGGGGAGGGGCAGCGGGGGAGGATCGCGTATCCGCACGCGGGATTGCGTGTCACCGCGCGAACAGCCGTGACCGAATGATTCTTCCCGCTAGTGCGGGCAATAAGTTGGCCGTCGTTGTTGTTGTCGTTCTTCTTTCGTCTGTCTCGCTCACGCCCGGGATCTCTTCACCAACTTTTTGCTTTGCCAGAAAGAGAGAGAGAGAGAGAGAGAGAGGGAGGAGAGAGGAGAGAGAGAGAGAGAGAGAGGGAGGAGAGAGAGAGAGAGAAGGAAAGAGAAAGAAACGTGTCGATGTATATTCGTTGCTGCGTGACGCTGCACGTCGATGAGATATGTAGGCTGCGTGTATTTTAGCTCCGTAGTTAAAAATAGTATCGACGGACGTGGATGACGTTTTCCCAAGAGAGATAGACGGAGAGGATGAGAGCAAGAAGGGGATGGAGAGGTCGGGTGAAGAGAAAAAGATCCTTATCGTAATGATTTTCCTTTCCTCACGCGTATTATCGTCGACGCGCTTCCTCCTTCTCCGCCTCTTGACGAATTGACGCCAGAATCCGTGACGTGGCTGCAACGTGCATTTTTCCGGGACACGTTATTCGAGTCTTTGTGTCGACGCGACTCGTGACATTTCCGTCTCTACGTCGCCATATTTCCGCGATTATTCGCGCAGCGTGCGTATCTACGATCATTTTCAGTCGATCGCGTTGGTCTCCCGAAATTGGATCAAGCGTTTCAAGCGAACGGTAATTAAGTGCGACGCGCGCCAGCTATAGGCCTGTTCTTTTTCGCTGCACTGCTGAGAACTGGTGCAATAAGTTAAGGCGAGACACATATATGTTTCCTCACTTTAATTTATTGCACCAATTCAGCAGTGCAGCGAAAAAGAACAGGCCTATTGATGCAATCGCCACGTGTGCTCTTTCTGCGGGCGATATGTATGAAATTCGAAGAACGCGCTCTAAGCAAACGTAACATACGCGCAACATTGTCAAATATGAGTAAACGATACCTATGTGGTACGCGCGATAACGGTCTCGTGTACGGTATTCACCGCTAGACAAACGAGAGCCGGTTTATCAGACATGCGCGCGTTATTAAGCTCGAAAGTCAAACACGCGTAGCATCATCAAGATCCGGTTTATCTCGGTGCGTCATATTTTTACGCGGTATCTGAAAAATTCCGAGACAACTGTACAACGGTACGACGTGATATGATACGCGGCCGTCGTTTGGGGGGGGGGGTTCCCCGATGGTCGGCCTCGACTTCCTGGAAATATTTCGAATGTATCGCGTTAACGAGTAACGACCGGCGTACGTGAGCGGAAATCGCGTTTGTCGAGGCTGCGGGGACAACCGGGTGTCGAGAGACGCGCGGCGCGTTCGTGCGTACACAAAAGACGCGCAGTGCGCGCCAAATGCGCGTAATTGCAGCGAGAGTATTCCGCTCGCTTGCGACGAATCGCGACTGGCGAGATTAGAGCGGAATAGCGAGTAGCGGCGGTACGGCGAGACGCGTAACGAATAGTGCGAATCAAAACAGGAGGAAAACAAGAGAAAAAAGTCGATTGCAAAGAGAGAGAGAGAGAGAGAGAGAGAGAGGCCAAGTAAAGAAAAAAAGATCCTTATCGTAATAATTTTCCTCTTTCGCGTATTATCCTCGACATTTCTCTTTCCTCTTCTCCTTTTTTCTCGCGAACTTAAATCCGACAAAGTTGTCTTGCTCGCTTTATTATGTGTTTATTTTTCCGTGATTCAGAGACAAATTCTCTCTGCGACTTAAGGAGAGGTTTACATCGCCGTAAAATATCAAGGATATTTTTTCAAAGAAATGAATAAAGGTGTCAATGTAGGGGTTTGGTGATATTTTATTTATTACTGTGTGTCAACTACGGAAATATTATTTTTTTTGTACTAAGTTGCGGTGTCGCCGCACGCCTCTAACTAGCAAACAATATTAGCTTGTGTAATCATTTCAAACAAACGAGACAAGGGAATTGAAAAATTGTGTTAAATTTATTGCAGGATGAATCTTTGTTACATGCAGAAAATCAAAATCGAACACGATACTTCGAAATTACATGTCACTTTTCTTCTTTCTCTTTTCTTCTTATTTAGTCTTTCGGGGAAAATATCAATTCTAGGAATTTTCCAAAAGATTTTAGTTTATCCTCTCCGGTTCCGTTTACCCCTGTTTGAAATTGATCGAAACCCACTGTTTTGAAATGTTTTTGTAATTAAAATCGTGATAAATATGATCAGAATTCTATATTGATATTTTTATCGATTAAAAAAAGTCGTGAGAATCCTCAGTTGTCCTTCTATTTAAAACAGAACCTGTCCTTAATCGGATTCATAAAGTGCATCGAGTGTGACGATCGGCGCGTGGTCGAAGAACAATGACAATACGACGCAGTAACGTACGGTAACGTGTCTGTCATGATGATGTACGCGTCGTCGTCATCATGACAGTCGTCATGCGTGCCATGTGCACGCGGTATGCGTGTTAATCATTTCGACTACTTCTCTGAACGACTCACCGGGTAAACATTACCGAAATACACAAGCCTCGTGACAGTTTGTGCTCACAACTGTCGTGGATAAGGTTGACCTTTTCGGTACACGTAATGATAACGAGGACGATTATGAAAGTGAGGCAGAGCCCTGATAAGCGAAATTGAGCTCACTGATAGCGATGATATAACGATATAATTCTTTGTCGAGGAGAAGCGCGTGTATCGTAATTTGTCGCGTGGAGAATCGACGGAAACCAGCCACCTTCTTCTCGTGCCTTGTCTCCTCGACCCCACAGACTTCTGTATACTAAGGGAGAGGGGGGCAAATAGTGACAGTTTAAATTTCTCCTATATTTCCCGCATCTATGCTACTACCACCGTCAATAGCGAATAAGTTCTCGAACATCTAATCATCTTTGAAAAAAAAAACAAACTGCTAAGCCAAACATAGCTAATAAGGAAGCCTAAAATTTTAGCTTTATGAAACAAGATAAAACCTGAATCTTATTCGGGTATTTCTACTTAGATTGTTTTGACTCTCGAACCCCTAAATAAGATTTTACCTGTTCAGCGTCGTACGATATGTGATTTAACTTCTATATCAATTCGTTTATTGTTTGAAGTGATTTAAAAGAAAAAACAACTCCTGGGACAAAGAGTGACAAATTTTAAATAATGTTACTTGATTTATTCAGTGTTAGTTGAATTGCATTTATTCCCATTTATTTTATTGGGTGTAAATGCCATTAAACTAGGTTTAAATACAGAAAATATTATTAAATAATTAATAAATAATTTGAAAATCCAAAAGCGCGTCATTTCACCAGAACTAGATTTTATATATCATTTGTTTTAATAAAATTCGTACATAGGGCGGTAAAAGAAATTATATTTTAATTTTTAGTTAGTCACACATCGTCAAAAGAGAGACTGAATGGAAGTTCGTGAGTTTTCCATGATTGTCATCATTTGCCCCACGCTGGGGCAAATAGTGACAAAATGCAGATTTTAGTTTCTATAAAAATTTTGTTATTCCATATGACTTATGGGTCTTGTACTTAAGTTTTTCGTATAATTGAAGGTGGAAAGTATCGTTTTAGTAAAACGTCCGATCTCGACAACTTGAAAATAGCTTACACGAGGGAGAAAAAAAATCCATCACTATTTGCTCCACTCTCCTTTACTATATTGCTAACTCCCTATGATCGGCCTGTAGAAAAGTGAGGCAAAATTTTAACGTAGCGCGAATAGAGGCAGCCATCTTTATTAAGGCAAAATTTAGTATATGGGATGCCTTAACAAAAATGGCCGTCACTTTTTGCCTCAGCTACTAGGGAGTTAGTCTAATAGTATATAGAAGTCTGTGTATGACCTTTGTTATAGAAAGTTTGTCATAAGGGTGGATTAGTTAGCACTCCTGATGGTCTCGTGAAATCGATAGTCGCGACCCGGAAAGATTCGCTCGAGAGAGGGATTGATCTGGATTTATTTCCACGCGAAGCATACATTTTTATCGGACTTCTGTTTGAATATGCGGAGGGAACGTCATTGAAAATATCTCGACACCTGTCAGAAATGAATGACTGTTTATGAAGAAGAGCAGCAATCGAGGTGGAAATTGATTTGATTGCGTGCGATGCTGACGACTCGCGAATTCCTTCGTTTGTTGTGAGACGATCCCGGTGGAAATCTCGACTCAAGGTCCGCGTCAGAGAAAATCGCCCGCCGTCTTCTGACGTAATGTGACGCGCGGGCGCAGACAACGATTCACTTATATTCCACCTCGCTCCCGCTCCTCGCAATCGTTTCTCGCTCGTACCATTATCGGCGCCGCAGCGAGACGACAATTTATTTTTGCTCGCGAAGCGCAATGAAGTCATTGCGCTACAAAGGCGGCGATTATTGCACGCAGAGTAACATTCCACGCAGATTGCGCACCGCAAAAAGTGCAAGCGCGCAAGGACAATCCGAGCTCGCGGAGTAAAGGCCGATCTTGCAGCGCGGCGTATTTAACCTCGCTGTATCTCCGTCTCGCACCAATTTAAAATAGAATCACATGAGATCAATAGGTTTGCACTTATTCGGGCGGATTTCTCAATGAAACTTTGATCTTAAATTTTTTATTTAAAAGTTGAAACTTTAATATTTTATTGTAACATTCTCCCCATTGAGGTATTGCCGATGCTTTGCTACCCTGAGACGTATAGTTGTCTCTGCTATGTATAGAGGAATATGTATTTTTTTCATAGCGTCAATATGAGAAGTGAAAAATTTCATTGAATTTATTTTAACTTTATTTTGAGAAACGTGTATCTGATTGTTGTTACGTTTTCAGGTTCGTACGTCGGACCATCCATCCCGTTGGCACCGGCTAATGTTGCGGCTAACGGTGGAGGATCACCTCTTCGTCCTAGGACGAGTCCTCCTCCGCCGCCACCGCCAGCACAGGAAAACGCCAATGATAATTCGCAATCCAATCATCATCAGGTACGCGTTAATGTTAATTATTTATTTGTTTAGTTATCTATGCTGGAAGCTCCTTGTGTATCATACAATGACTGTTAAAATTTGAAAAATAGCAATAGCAATTAGTAATAATCATAAACAAAATGTATGATATGTATTATATTTATAGTGTTATTATTATAATACCTGTGTTACTAATTATGATTATTAGATGCTGATAGAACTAATTGTTCTGATAATACGTTATTTCTACATCGTTGAAAAATATCTGCTGAGATAAATCAGTTACGAAGTCTTAACACAACAATGGCACTTGTTATGTCTTCAGGGTTCAGCGAACGGGCCGTCACCGATGGCCGCTTTGATGTCAGTCGCCGACAATCTGACATCTCCAGAGCCAGTGCCACAGCCGCCGAACAATCCCAGTCCCACCAGCAGAAGTCCGCCAACCACGGCTGCGAATGCTCAACAGCGTAGCGCTTCTAGAGGCTCTCAGCACAGCCCGAACAGTTCAGGTAAATTGACCCGTTTCGATTAAACATCCTGGATTGAGATGTCGACAAGGTCGGAGTGTAATGATCAACGTTGCGTGCCTTGGTGATTCGCAGGTTCGGGCAGACGGTCCAGTAGTTCCAGGCAGGTGTCGTCGACGACTGTCACGACATCCTCTGAGGGCGCAGTTGCCCAAGCTGCTGGCGCCGAGCCGGTCTCAGCGCCTACTTTGAAATGTACGCTGTGTCAGGAACGCTTGGAGGACACGCACTTTGTTCAGTGTCCTAGCGTGCCGCACCACAAGTTCTGCTTCCCCTGCAGTCGGGAGAGCATAAAGAGACAGGGAGCCGGCTCAGAGGTGAGTATTTCATCATGTTTTTCTAAATGTAGATAAACGTAGATATGCGTTTTTCTATGTATCTTTCCGAGAAAGTAACGAGATATACGCGTCAGCGATACTCAATCGCATCGCTGTGTCCGGTTGTGATTAAGTAACGATCGTGGCATGAGTATCTGGTGATAGGATAGATCTGTTCTTTATAACTGCACCAACTTGCATTGTCTGCACTTAAGATAAAGCAGATATATTAGGCTTCAAGATTGTCTTTGAAGTGTTTTTCTATAGAAGAATACACATTATGTTTGTCACTTCTATTTAGAAGATACTTTGTTTTCATATCATTACTTGGTGAATGTTTATGAGGAGAGGCTTTTGAATCAGTCTATTATGTGAATAACTCTCTTGATAGGTTATATAACAATTGTGTGATATACTTGACATTTGATAGAGGAGAGAAGAAAGTAGAAATGTTGCAAGATAGCTCAGATGGTGCAGCTATGGAGAAGGAATTCACAGTGACTCGCGCGAAAGGTGGTTTCCTGACACACGTCCGTCGAGCGAGGTGTTCTCCGGCGACGACCGTTACATTCTTCACGTGTTGTGTTGCAGGTTTATTGTCCGAGTGGTGAGAAGTGCCCGCTGGCCAACAGTCAGGTGCCATGGGCCTTTATGCAGGGTGAGATCGCCACCATACTCGGCGAGGACACCCCGGGCTCCGCGCTCAAGGTCAAGAAGGAGAGAGAAACTTAAGGGAGCCTCATGATGTCGATTCAGGGCTCAAATTTTCCGACCTCCGTTTAAAGAGGGGGTCTGTTAAACTGGTGGAAACCGTGAAGGTTTTGCCGAACGCTTTTGGTAACGGTGATAAGAAAAAAAATGAAGACACCGTTGGCCACGCGTGAGGCCAACGGAAACGACTCGAGCCAAAGACGTTGTCTGGTGCGATATGGATTCTCACAAAGTTGTTGACGTTGTCGATAT